TTTTTTTTTTTAAATATGAACCAAGTTTGGTTCCCCCTAGAAGATTTGAAATGTCCGTGTACACTATACCAGATGAGGCGCAAAGCTGTTCTGCCTGTTAGCAGGAGCAGCATAGTACTCTGCTGCCTCGAGGGCGTAATCGAACGTGGCCCCAAAAAAGTACACCGAGGAGGAAGCCCTCGATAAAGAAGAGAGGAGTACTACGATCACATTTGGATGTGGTATGGTATGGTGTGGTGTGGCATGGTGTAGTAGACACCCCCTTCGAATATTCGCTAGTCTTCGAGAGCTTTTTCCCTGATCCACAGTGTATTGCCTCTGAGCCGATTTCTGGGTTCTCGATATTATACCGTTAGTGGCACCCGGAGGCGAGATCTCACTAACACACAATCATACCTTTCATCCCCTGCAACTTTTTTTTAAACTAATTTATTTTTTCTTCTTCTTCTTCTTCTTCTTCTTCTTCTTCTTCTTCTTCTTCTTCTTCTAATTTTTGTTATCTTTTCATTTGGAGTAATCGAACTTTAAACAATAATTCAGCCAAAGAATAATTGTCTTACAATTAGTTTAAAGTTGAAATATTTGAAATACCCATGATATGTAATTTCGTGTAATTTTATGTGTATTCCAACTGGATATGTCGCTTAAAGGAAATTCTCTTTCTCATCTCTATGGAAAGTTGGCGTACTCGTTACCAACGGATAATACCATGAGTAGCAATGTACCAATTGTGCTAGGAATACTGTGTCGTCGTCTACGTCTACGTCTACGTCTACGTCGTCGTCGGTTTTACCTTGTTCCTCTTTCCCCCGTTTTACTCTATTCCAAAGGTGTGTGTGTGTGTGTGTGTGTGTGTATGTGTTTGCATTTAGTTCGTAGATGTAAGACCGGTAACTATGTGGGCCCCCCTGTACGATAATTCGCTAGAGTTCTTCATATTCCGCATAGTTTTCTTCTATAACGAGAACACGTGCCGACCTCTTCACCATAGACTTATTTCATTACATTCCCTATGACTTTTCACTTATTCTCATTCTTCTATTATCTGATATTTATTATGGTGAACGAAAAGTTCATACGTTTATTGAATTGGAAACTTTACTTTCCTAACTGTATAATAAATTATGAACTTTTGCTTCATGGTAATAGCCCAATTAAATAAAATAGAAGAAGAAGAAGGACTTTTTTCATTGGTTTGTAAATAATACGCGTCCTGTCGTGGATCTCGTTGTACAAGCAAGCAAGCAAGCACATCGGAATGACGATTAAACGGCACATCACCCGTGTGATTTATGACGCACACACCTTGCTGCGAATGCAAATGGTGCATTCGCGGTATTCGCAGCTATCCGCTCCTATCCCACGATAGATAGATAGATAGATAGATGGATTCGATGCATCTAACTCAATTACCCTGAGAATTTCTTCCCAACAACAACAACAACAAAAATCTTGTTAACAGGTGTGTGACAATTTCAAGTTAACGATGAATTGTTGTCTTCATCGTTATAATTATCATCATGATCATTTTGAAATGAAGTTCCCTTTGACTAAATCATAAAGAGATTTAATAGTAATGTCATCGTTTTAAATAAAGAATGAAAAATAATAGTGAGAAATATCTCAACTATTACTACTACTACTACTACTACTACTACTACGTTAATAAATAAATAACATTAGAAAATTTCTGAGTATATAATAATCGTCCCTTGAGTCTGATTAAATAACGCGTGTAACAATTAACGAATATTACATATTCATGAGAAGCCGAGCGAAGGAACGTTGTCGTTTAAATCTTGGCCGTTGCAGGCAACGATGCAACGAGTTCCTCTCTCTCTCTCTCTCTCTCTCTCTCTCTCTCTCTCTCTCTCTCTCTCATATAGTTTCACACTTTATGCGCTTTCGTGCGAGTCTAACACGAGTATCTGCTTTTGATATTTCCGTAGTAGAATGTACGCAAGGGTATGTATATGTTGTAGAGAAAGAGAGAGAGAGAGAGAGAGAGAGAGGAAATCATCGATATATTAGTCGTGTCATTAATACACTAATGCTGAAATTCGCATGAGACCAACAAGGTAAACGTGGACTACGAAACGATGTGTCGTTTTCGCTCGATAAAGCGTTAATTAAATTCTGCATTGTGACGCGCGAAAGATAAATTGCATTTAACGGATGCAGGGGGGGAGGAGGGGGAGGAGGAGGAGGAGGAGGTCAAAAGGGAAAGGGAAAAGGGAGAAAGGGGGGTCAGAGAAACAGAGACAGATGATAGGCCGTTTATCCTACATGCTGATCCTGTATATCAGCGGTGTCCAACTAACAAAACAGATTTTATACGATAAAGGAATAAATTCGTTTGAAAAATTTATGATCGGTTACGACGTGGAATCGTGTAACGTGCAAAAGAAATAAAAGAAACAACGAAGACCGACCGACCGACCGATCTTTTCCACGTCAAACTTTTATTTATTCATAGTAGGTGTTAAAAGAGAACATTTAAACGTGTAACAACTTCCCTAAGAAAATCGCGACAGAAATTTTCACTCTATTGCGTGATTACGCTCGAAACTTGTCAACCCTTCTTATACGTGTGTTAAATATTTTCAATCGTATATTTAAAACAACGTAGAATAATTTTCATTGAACATTTTTGTCATAGTTATTTTGTTGAATTTTTCACTTGGTCATAAAGTAGGAAAAATTATTGCTATTATGTATATGTGCGATAACAGGATTTAATGATAAGTCATGTGTTACGTGACCTATATATACATATGTATATATATATATATATATGTATGTATAAGATAAGCTAAATCTGGGAAAACGAGCGTTCTTATTGTTAGCGTACTGATACATACAAATTTGATTAATTCTTTCATGATATTTTGATAATAATTTTAAAACGTACACAATATTTTCGTATTAAGTTGATAGCATAGAAAAATAGAGTTAAAAAAGAAAACTAACATAAGTAATTGAATTTACTTACTCGGATAAATACGTAATGAATCGCTCTGTGGTTTTCTGTTGTGTTCGTTGTTCCCATTGTAATCTTCTGAAAATTTAATATTCACTTATTTCGGATTACACGGTAAGAAGAAGAAGCAGCATCTTAAAACGAGTGCACCAGTTTCTATCTCTAATTGTATTTGTAAGTGTATTCGTAAGCCCTACATGTATGTATGCATTCTATCTTCTTTCAATCGAGACTATGTATCCTTAACTATTTAACAATTTAGGTAAACGTAACTTTTTTTTTTACAAACATTGTTTTTCAATCATCGTTCTTCTAGTATTACTGACCCTTTAGATTTTTCAGAAGATTAGCGTTTGCTTCAGGTCCATAAGTCGTCAAAGTTCCAATTAAAACGATCAAAATGATTTCGATCAGAAATAACAAAACCACCTGCTGCTTTTCGCCACATACCGACAGCATACCCTGTTGAATTAAAATTCCTAGTGTTAATGAAAATGTATTCTTTATCAAAGTAAAAGAAGAAAAAAAAATCAACACTCTCTCCTTAGATAAAATAATAATTAATAATCCCATCGAACATATCATCAATGATTGTTGATTGATTTAACGAGATGAGAAAAATCTATAAAAATAAAAATAAAAAAAAGGTAAAATTTAAACAAATAGAAGCTTCGATATTGTACTAATAGCGTAAGTCTCTTTTATGTTTCACTCATCAAGTTTAATTAAAAACAGTTTGTGTAGAGTTATGTTTACTGCGTAATATTACGCTGCTTTTCACAGGACAAAGTTATTAACTTGTTATTCATAATCCACTTGGTAGAATGCGCTTCTACCCATCTCTCCCTCCTTCCGTTACCCGATCCTCTCGTAGAAAATAACTTTCGAAAACATCGCACTCCATGCACTTTTCAACACAACCACCGACGCGATATTCTCTCACTCTCTTTCTTTCTCTCTCTCTCTCTCTCTCTCTCTCTCTCTCTCTCGTTACGTCGAGGTACAAGCTCTTTTGTTATCGTTTTGAAAATGTCCCCTGCGTGTTCCCCTCCCTCTCTCTCTCACTCACTCTCTCGCATTATCTTTTTATCTCTTTATCTCTATCTCGTGGGTCGTTGCATCCAACGTTGCTAAAAGTTACCACCGAGCAATGGAATTTCTGTTATTTTCCAAACGAAATTACAAAGGACGTATAATGTAGACGCATACATATGCATGTTCAGCCCGTTCTATTGATTTTTTTTTTGCGAATGTAACCTCCTGTCGATGTTTCAGAGAGAACTGGCACATTATATTATTGGTCCATGGATATCGGTAAAGAACTAACAATAAGCAAGCAACCTTTTCCCAAATGTTTTTTCCAACCATTACGAAAAGGGTTGAGAATCAAAATATGAACAAACCGTCTGGTTAAAAACATAAGCAGATTATAACCATTGACTTGACCAGTGGCTTCAATGAAATACAAAATAGAAAAGAGAGTGTATTATTTGATATTTATTTGAATAGAATGTTTGTTGTAGTAGTAGTAGTAGTAGTACCTTTCCCATAGCTATGGGATGCGCTGTGCTTTTCTCCTCTTTATTCGATCGTACCAGTAATCCTCTTTATCCTCTTTATCCTCTTTATCGTCCTTGCGTTCAGTGCAAACACACGACGAGAGTTCAGTACCACTATCATACACTGAATTCGTTCAACTATCGTAACGCCGAGCCCCTTTTCCAAGCTTTTGAATTAAACCTATCTTTCTATTCGCGAACTTTTCCCATTTGTGATTATATTAATATTGTATATACTACCATTTACAGATACTCGGTTAATGATTCGAACGTATTACCTCGCTTCTTTAGTTAACTTTGCTAAATCTATTTACAATTAACTAAACTAATTAGATCAGGAAACTATCCAAATGATTAATCATTAGTTATAATATCTGATTTTTCTTTGAACAAACATTTATTCTAATTTCATTTTTGAACTGTTTTACATTACACTGACTTCTATCACGTTCAACTTTTCGATCCTAACTGACCTCCTCTCTGTTATGACGTTTAAGTAACCCTAACGGATATACGCTATTCTCTTATTGTCCATGCTTCGATGTTTTAACAGGGTATTGAAACTCCTACTTGTTATTTTTATTTAATGCAAGAAATATAATACGTTTGTGAGATATTTCAGTCAAATTCTTTTTTTTTTTACAACTTACGAATTTGTCAAAGATTGTTTAAACGATAATATCGATTAGGATCAAATAAATCCATGCGATACGTTAATAATAATACGTATTCCAATTTCCTACGTGAATAATTTGTCATAATTAATAATGAACGTGCAATTCGTAGAGGGTATTAAATATGTAAGTGTTTTTCAATGCAACTTGATCGAGTTCGAGTGCATTCGATTCTCCTCTTCTCTGTGCACATGTCACATGCGATGATAAATAAATAAATTGCTATTGTCATCAATTCGCTAAAGAAAAACTACTCTTTGAAATGTTCAGAAACTAAAGAAACAAAATGAGAAATAAGTGTTGCACGTCACGCAATCGTAATTTCATTGATTTTCAGTGGATGCATAGTAGCTGCATCTAAAATACTATTTTAAGTCATAAACTAACTAAAATCTGTCTAATCAACAAATACCACGATAAATCGATGATTTCAAATTTTATTTCGAAAATTCCAATCCTATTTTATCTATAAAAAAAAAGAAAAAAACAAGATATAATACGTTCGGAACATTGAACCAACGTTACTTCAAACTAACACCACGACCATAACTCTTACATATGACAAAAATCAATCAAATGGAATTGATCAAACGATGATATATTATTATCATCGAGAATAAAAAAAAAAAAATAAAAGAAAACAAACTGTCGACCAATCAACGCCGAGAAATTTATCGTGCTGTTCGTAAAGACGTCAAATCGTGTACTAAAACTTTCAACAAGATCGTCATCGCTGTTTATATTAACTACGTAGACTAGCTAGAAAATTGATGACAATTAAACCATTTTACATGAATTCCTTAGTCTTCACCCTCTCAACCCCATAATTCCTATTTCTCTCTCTCTCTCCCTCACTCTCTCTCTCTCGTTATTATTTTATTTGTCATTGTTTTTGTCTCAAAGTTCTTGGAAAATAGACACAAAGAGCTTGAGGAAACAGTAGTAGCGATATCCCTTCTTTTCAAATCTCTCAAAATGATGCTACTGGAAGAATAGGATACCAAAAGAATAAGAGAGAGAGAGAGAGAGAGAGAGAGAGAGGAACGATGCTCATCATCCAACATCTTTGAATTCTTGATTGTCGTGTGTTAGGCTGTGTAACGCGAAACCTCTGGTCGTTTGCAATTAAACGAGCTAATTGAAAAGTAGGACGTTGAAGGAAATGAGGATTTATTGTGCTTACTCTCTTTCTAAACACTAATGACATCCGTGAGAAGAAATACAAAGAGGGAAAAAGACAGTAGATGTGGGGGATGCTTGGTTATCGTCAACGTTTAGTGTAATAGTGAGAAAGAGAAAGAGAAAGAGAAAGAGAAAGAAGGGAGAAGGAAGACCTTTTTGTCGGCTTAAAACCATCCTAGAAGCTTCCTCCAAATGGAATTTTTAAGAAGCTTTAATATTTCTTTCTTTTCTGCTCGTTATAATTGTAAGTTCTTACTTTGTAAATGAAAATATAATAGCTTGTAATAATAATAATAATAATAATTAAAAAATAATTGTTAAACTAGTAATACTCGTACAAACTGTTATCAAATGTGTTTAGCGTTATTTTATCAAACGAAAAAAAAAAAAAAAAGAAGGATTGAAAATATTATTGACACTTACTAATAATTGTTGACAGTTTTGTCACGTTTTCGGATTTAGTCGAAGTGTTTTAGTACGACGTTTTTATAATTTGTTTCCTCTTCCTAGGATATATCGTATTTGAAGTCGGATATAGAAACTCTACTGCTCTCTCTCTCTCTCTCTCTCTCTCTCTCTCTTGGATTTTATTTCAGGTACGTTGATTCACGAAGAAACTCTCAAGTTGGTAGGACGAGCAAAATTGAACTCGACACTCGACGAGAGAAATATATTCGATGTCGATTCGACTACACGCGATCGATTTTGTCATAGGAACGTGAACGGAAAGTGACCGAAGACACGAGAAACACACACACACACACACACAGATATATTTACAAGGAACTGCATACCAATAAATATTACATTTACGTGCAAAGTTATATTACACGAATGCATGGTATCTACTGTGTATACCAATATGATTAGATGCCATGATCTAAATTAGACTTCACGGTCGCACGCGCTTACTTAACTCTAGATAAATTTGTTTACGTTTGTTATATGCAACATTCTCTTTGACGTAATATATATATATATATACACAAGCTCAAAATTTCATTATACGAATTCATTTAGGATGATATAATATTTGCTTCCATAGAAAATACTTTGTCAGTAAATCCTGAAGCAACCATGGTTGGTTTAGATTTCTTTTTTAAATATATATAAATTACGGGTCACGTTGTTTGTCCGCAATGGACTTCTAAACTACTGAACTGATTTTAATAAAATTATGCACACTGTGTGCAGTTTCATCCAACTTGAAAGATAGGATAGTTAATATCTCTATTTATAATCGCAATATTATTTTATTGTTTGTATTTATGTATCGGACTGATTGTGAGCCACAGCAACACGTGGCGGGGCACTCCTAATTTTTAATATACTTTAAATTATTCACGCGTTTGTTTGTTAACTTTTTAAACTTGAAATATTAAATGAAATCAACGCGTTGTTCGTTATAAATCATAATCAGGTAGAAATTTGACATTAAAAAATATGGCAAATTGTTAAGGATTTAGGATAAAGTTAAATGGTTGTTCATTTTCCATAATATAAATACCATTTGAAATATTTTCTCGTAGATTTATTTTCCATCATTGTTTTAAATCTTACAAAAGAACATATAATACACATTAGAGTTCGGCAGTAAATTCACATAATTATTCATAAAACCTTAAACTTATCGTACAGTTTCTTATCAGTAGCTTAAATTAATGCATACGGTTTTAGAGAGAAAGGTACATATATATTATTATTTTTTTTTTCTTCCATGACCCTTTCTTACGCTTGTTTACGTGTGTGCTTTGTATTTAATTAATTAAATTAATTTAATTAATATATCAAAAAGTCGCGCGTGTAAATCGATTTTTACAAAAAAAAAAAAAAACAAACAAAAAACCTGGAAGTAGAAATGGGAATAAAAATAGTTTTGGATACACGAATCTTTTTCTTCTTTTTTTTTTTTTTTTTTTTTTTTTTGAAGGGCTAGAACGGCGGACAATTACATCGAAGAGATAAAAAATCTGTAAATCTGTAAAAAATCTGTAAAAAATCTGTAAAAAACGTTGTTCATCAAAATCATTGATAATCTTTCACAATTAATATTATTGATTACGCTTTACATATATTTATCATTTTTGGACAAGATAAATGCAAGATTCTCGATCACGTGTGCGTGTATATTTCTTCTTTGTTGTTTTTAATATGAAGGATGTATAAGTGTGTATGTATGTGTATGCATTCGAAAAAGGATTGGCATCGCGATACTCTAACGACGAAGAGAGAAAACCTATATATATATATATGTCTTTTAATGTATTTATGTATGTACGAATGATCAGGATTATAATAACTCTTTTTGGTTTAATAAGAAAAATTGTTTCTATCCAATTTTTCTTTTCATTTATTATTATTATTATTTTTTTTTCTTTTACTATCAGCTGACAAGAAACTCATTTTGTTATTCGCAATAAAATTCATTTTTTCTTACGATATATTTTATATATATATATATATATATAAGTAATATTCGTTTATTCAGACTTCCAACTTCTTTTTTTAAATTATTTTTCTTTGCCTCCAACTTCTTCATCTTCTTCTTCTTCATCATCTTCTTCTTTAATAATTATTAACAATAATAATTATTTTATTATTATTATTATTACGAGATTTCTAATGACTAACAACACCAAACTTTTTTTATCTTTGGTATCTAAGAGTATTCGTGATCGTATTTAATAATAGATGGGCAAAAAAAAAAGAAAAACTTTAAACAAACAGAACAAAATAATTAATAATAATAAATATGACTATGACGATGTACGCTCTTTTTTTTTTTTCATTATTTTTTTTTATATACTTTTATAGATTTTTTTTTTTT